TTCTCCAGTTTGCCTCAGTTTTCAACATTCTCCCTGATCTTGTCTCTCCTCTCCTGCCCCTTCAATCCCTGTAGGTACACTGGCTACTAACTGCTTTATGGACACTATTGTTATTGATGTAGTACTCGTGACTACTGTTTATGGACATTATGGTTATTTATGTAGCCCTGTCCACTTGTGCCCTACAGCTTTTTCTTTTTTTAAAGATTTATTTATTTATTCATACAGAACTGGGGTACAGGCCAGAGGCTCAGGGGCGGCGAGAGGCTTCACCAGAGACAGAGTGGGGAGCAGAACGGGCAGATCAACAAAGTACACTGCTGAGGGGAACAGCGGGCGGGTCAGGAGAGGTCTGCCACGCCATGTGGTCACCTCCGGGGCAGGCGGGAATCGAACTCATGCGGAAGTGGCTTTAGCTTCTCAGTGCTGTGTTTTAACCCGCTGCACCACCAGGGAGGGCCATCTACAACTTTTTCTTAACTAATTTCTACCAAATTTTGTTCCTCACACTTTTAAGGTAATAGGACTGGCCAGTGGTGCAGCCCTTCCTCTCATCAATAACTACTAATTTTTTTTGAATAACAAATCTCTTTTCTAGAGATGTATAATTTGCACTTGTACATTTATATACTATTAAAATGTTATTATATACTGGGAAGATGAGAATTAAACAAAAATTATTTTTGTTTACTACAGTATTTTTATTTTTGAAAAGATTTTTATTTATTTATGCATACAAGAACTGGAGTACAGGTCAGAGGTATGGGGGGTGATTGAGAGGATTCATTAGAATGGGGAGCAGAACAGGCAGTTCTACTGAAATACACTGCTGAGGGGGGCAGCGGGTGAGACAGGAGAGGTCTGCCACAACCATGTGGGTCACATCCCTGGCCGGGGATCAAATTTGTGCTGCAGTAGCTACAGCTTGCTTCATAGTGCTGTACTTTAACCCCTTGTGCCACCAGGGAGGGCCCACTACAGTATTTTTTAAAGCTAATCTGATCTTGTATATAATGAACCCTTTTATTAAACGAGTGTCTAGATGTTTTTAGAATAGCTATTTCACAGTGTGGACTGGGAATGATGAAGAATGTGAGATGCTGTCAGGGTTTCTGCAAATTTGAAAGTATTGCATACTAATAGACATTTTTTTTCTTTTTTTTTAAGTTCATTCTTTCAAAGTTGGATAGTGTAGTTTCTTAGAGATTACATGATATGCAGTATTGTAGATTAGATACGGAAGTGGATTAAGTCACACAATTAAGAGGTTTGAAAAAATGTAAAACTGTGTTACTCTTCTTTCTACTTAAAAATTTCCTTACTATAAAATAAAATTATACGATGGTAACATCTAATAAGTTACAAATTGTATTTCCAAAAAAAATTGTTATTTCCAATATGCCAAATGTTAATATAACTCATATAAACAAAAGCTCACAGAGGCCTTCATTAACTTTAAGAATGTTAAGAAATTCTGAGACCAAAGAATTTGAGAAATGCTGATCTAGTAGAATGATTGGTAGGAGATAACTATTACTTTTGCCTACTTAGTGACACGTCAATTCCTTATCTTTTTTATATCTGCTCTATAAGTATTTTTTAAAAGATTTTTATTTTCATTTATTACACATACACGAACTCAGGTATAACCAGAAATGCAGGGAATGACAGAATTCACCAGAGACAGAGTGGGGAGCAGAACAGGTGGATTCACTGGAATACATTGCTGAGGGGAGCAGCGGGTGGGTCAGGAGAGGTCTGCTGCACCTTGTGGGTCGGGCACTCTGGCTGGGGCTTGAGCTCAGGCCAGGCTGCAGGGTGATAGCGTGATAGTGCTGAGCTCAAACAAAAGGCATTTGACTCAGGTTTGTAACCAGCCATGCCTGTATCTAGGCCTAATCTATACCTTTCAACTATGTGAACTACTAAATTGTCACTTGGATTAAAAAAATCACTTATTGGGCCCTCCCTGGTGGTGCAGCAGGTTAAAGCACAGCACTAAGAAACTAAAGCCACTTCCACATGAGTTGGATCCCTGCCTGCCCTGGAGGTGACCACATGGCGTGGCAGACCTCTCCTGACCCGCCCGCTGTTCCCCTCAGCAGTGTACTTCGTAGATCTGCCTGTTTTGCTCCCCACTCTGTCTCTGGTGAATCATCTCACTCTCCACATCTCTGGCCTGTACCCCAGTTCTGTATAAATAAATAAATAAATAAATCTTTAAAAAAAATCACTTATTAATATACCAGACTGTAAGGAATATAGTCTGAGAAATGTTGATCTAATAATCATTGTGCTCTTTACATCTGAATATTTACAGATATAGGGTCTTGGCCCTATGAATATATGCTAGCTTACTAGGGTTTGGACCTATTCATTTTGATATTTTGGTAACTAATTAACTGCTGAATTGATACATAAATATAGACATACATGTTAATGCATTCATAGTAAATAAGATAGATACATATCATTGGGAATCCACATTAAACCCTTAATTAGTAACAGTCATCTTCTGTTGAAGTATGTTGAAGTATGTCTCTCTAGTCATGTCTCCCTGGGTGGGTGGCTATTATTCAGTGTCTAGTCTTCATAATTTTTACTGGAGGCCTTCTCTCATTCCCAGAATAGGGTAGGACTCACTACATATTATTATGGTGTTCTTATTGTAGTTACACTTTGCCTTCAAAGCACACATCACAATGTCAGTTAATAAGTTGTGTGTTGATTTGTTTCATATGTTTCTTTCCTGATACAGTGTAAGTCCCTGGTTTTATCACTACTCTGCCGCTAGGATTCAGCTTAGTGTTTTGTAGCTAGTGGGTGTCCACAAATATATTGATACAGTGAATGAATGAGTGTATGCATGAACGTTTTGACCAGAGCAGTTTAAGGGGCTCTGGTGGCATGAACAAAGGGAGCCAACCTGCTTTAGGGGCACAGGAAGGACATCAGGAGTGAGAGGAGATGGGATAGAGGAGAGTAGTTCGGAGCTCCTGCTTGACGCTGTTATAGAAAAGGACTCAAACCACATTGTGAAGGACTATTTGAGGTTTTTACCTTAAGGGTTTAGACTTTATAAAAACAATAGTTAGACATCAAGACTGAATTGGAAGAAAGGAAATGGCATTTTTTGTTAAAGACAATCTTGATGAGAGCATACAGAACAGTTCAGGGACAAGCAAGACCAGGAGCCCTGGGATAAGGGAGACCACATGATTAATTCAGATGAGAAACTGGACTCCTTCACTAATTTTTTATTCAATTTATACTTACTGTCACCTATTTGGTTTATTTTAGGCATTCTAGCAATATTCTAGGAGGTGGGGACATAGAAGTGAGCCATACAGAGTCAGTCCTTGTGCAAATGGAGTTTATATATTAGTTGAGGAGTGGATGTTGACAAATGAAAGAATGAATGAATGCGTGAATGATGGATGAATTATCCAGTAGGATTCATTACTGCTGAACTAGCTACATGTGGGCTGAGAGCAGAGTTTCCAGGATGGCCTCTGGAAGTCCAAATAAAATGTAATGATGATCTTCAGGGTATTAAGGGAGAATGAGTGTCACACATAGAAATGTCATCTAACACTGTGGCATGTAATAGACAGTTTTAGCTATGCACCTCCTGAGTTAAGTATTCCTGAACATGATGTAGAGGGTTGAGAACCTTGTAATCTGAGGTTTAAGATGTCAAGGAATTAAAAAAAAATGTAAAAAATATCGAAAAAGGGTTGGAAAGGGGTAAAACCCACCAAATCATGGTAGGTTTGGTCATTATAATACATATTAGAAGTCTTTGTTTCTAAGGATTTGAAAAAAAGAAGCAAAAGGAAAAGAGTAAGGAAACAGTTACTTCTGAATTGAACAAACAAAAAGTAGGGAGAGTCCAGAACTTAATGGAGTAATGTTCTGTTTCTATATTGGAACTTGAGATTTTTTTTTATTTCTCTATCAACCTTTATATATGTTCACATATAAATGCTAAACAAGTTTTTGAGTTTGAACAAATCATTTCACTTGTACAGATGCTTTTAAATCCCACCTGGCTGCTCTTCAAAATAAGCTGAGTTCTTAGTGTCCAATGAAGCTTTAGTAACTTAGATATGTGTTATTTGCAATTATTTGCAGAAATCCTCATTAGAGAACTGTGTAGAAAGAGGACATCCCCCCTACCCCCCCCCCAAAAAAAGTGGAAACATAGTGTTCAGGAGTGATTAAATTGGCAGGCAGCGCCTTTCCACTGAAAAAGTATCAGAATCTGTGATCAGTGTTAATATTTTATTTTCTAATTAAGGGGTCTAAGGGGCAGGCTTATGAATAGAACTTTTAAAAAGTCCAGGGAAGGTTTGTTTAGCAAGGAACAAAACCACACTGTCAGCTAGTGTAACATCTCTCTTCGCTGATTGTTGGTTGGATGACCCCTGCTGAGTTGCCTACATCTATACCTTTCTTATTTCTAGGCTAGTGAAGGAAAATTAGGGCCAAGCAGTAGGTCTGCCATCTGATGAACTCTGTCGGGAAGTAAGGAAAAAACAAACTCAGTGATGTGAACTGCCTCAGGAATATTTGTCGTGTCACCATTATTCTTTACTAGAGCCAACATCTGCATCTTCCTCAGCCCATCTCTTGAACCTCAAGAAAGGCAGCTGAGGATGGCCAAGTGGCTTGTGGAACCACCGCACCCGGCCCACAGCCTCCTCCTCTGAGGGCCGCAGTGGGGAAGAGGCCATTCAATAAGAGTAAGAGGAGAGGGAGGGCAAAAGGAAGGAAGGGGAGCCAGCCAGAGGTGGGTGTGGAAGAGGCAGTCTCGCCCGGGCTGATTGGCTCCCGGGACCAGCCCTCCAAGGGGTTTATAAGAGTTGGGGCAGCCGGGCGCCCTGCCCGCTGGTCTGCGCGCCGCACGAGTACCGCCCGACTCAGAGCACCCCACGTCGAGGTTCACCTGGCCCCCAGCCGGCTCGCGCAGCCCTGCGGTCGACTTTGGACGGACGAGCAGGAGAGAGCGCGAAAGAGGGAGGCGAGCGCTGGGGCAAGCGAGCCCAGCGCCATGCGCCGCGCCAGCCGAGATTATACCAAGTACCTGCGCGGCTCGGAGGAGATGTGCAGCGGAGGTTCCGGAGCCCCGCAAGAGGGCCCCCTGCACGCCCCGCCGACGCCAACTCAGCCCGCGCAACATCAGCCGGCCGCGGCCTCCCGCTCCATGTTTGTGGCCCTCCTGGGGCTGGGGCTGGGCCAGGTCGTCTGCAGCGTCGCCCTGTTCCTCTACTTCAGAGCGCAGGTGAGTGCCCGCCTCCCCAGGGGCGCGCCGGCGAGGCGCACCCACCTTCCTCCTCAGCACTCGTGGGGAGCTGAGGCTGGCTGTGGGGTTCCACTCCCCAGACCTTATTCTGCAAAGCAAAGTGACTCGGGGATAGAGAGTCCGGATTGGCACCGCCTGGCGCGGGGTCGGGCGCTCTCGCTTCTGGCCTCCGCGCACGCCCGGGTGGGCTGGGAACTAGACTGGGCTCGCTTTTGAATTTCCCCCCGCGAGACTGCATTGGCCGCTCACCTCTTCTGGAAATGATTGTATACTTCATTCCCTCAGCCCCTTTTCCATTTCTAAGTATTAGGACGCTGCTTATGTTCATCTAGGGAAAAAAGAAAACACGAGAGCTTTCACTTAGGCGCCTAAGTTTTTCCTTTCCAACTACAACCAGGAGGTTTTTTGGCTCTTGGGACTGGCGTTCTGCAGCGGTGCTCGAACGGCGCACAGAGCAGAAAGTTGAGGCACGTGCGGTGCCAGCAACCGCTGGAGCACCAGGTGGTGTTGCCCTCGTTGCCAAAATGGCCACATGAAGTGGTGTGACCCCAGGACACCCGGGTGTCTGGACACCCGGGGTCTTTGCCGCCGCCGCCTCGTTCGTTGTTCTGTTCTGTTCAATTTGCGCTGGGTGCAGGACAGGGAAATCCCCACGTGCCTTTCTTCTGAGGTGTGTGGAGGAAGGAAGGTGTGTGCGTGTGCGCACACGAGCGAGGTGGTGGTGAGGTTCCTTGGAACAGACTTGTTACATACAACTAGCAAGTAACCGGCTTTTTAAAAGATGAGGAAAATAGCTTGGAACTGCAAAGATAGTAGAAACGAAGGGGTAAATTTGTAATATTATGCTTTCTGGTGGTTTGTGCTCTTGTGTTTTCTTGGAAATTGCAGTGCAGTCGGTTGGATTCATTCAAATGTTCTTGTCTGGTGCTGTGAACTCTTTCTCAGAGGAAGTGGGGGGCTGACTGTGCATTTTTTTATGGGAAAAAAGAGTTGGGTTTGGACTTGGTTAGTTTTCAGACTCAAAGGTGATTACTAAACCAGATTGGATGCATCAAAACACGGTCCTTTTTGGCTTGCATGGGTTTTTGGCATGTGCCAGAGGCTTGAAGGACAGTTACTTTTTAATCATAGGCTTTTTTTTGTTAAATATTCATTACCCACTAGTTCTGTCTTACAGAAGTTACTAGTCTCGTTACTGTTTACAGAAATAGTTTGATAATCTACAACAAAGGTAGAAATAGCATGTCCAATGCTTTAGAAAAATTGTATTTAATGAAACTAATCTCTACCTATTGAAATTCTTTTTCCAAAAAGACAGCTTTCCAGTGGTTTGCTTGCATCATAGATTACACAAATATATAGAAAGTGATGAAATGTTTTCTTTTCATTGGAGTATGCTGTGGTCAAAAGTGATGGTTCATCCGTTTTCCCTTCCAGCATATTGTTTTCTCTCTCACTTAGTGCCTGTGTACGGAGTCCCAGCATTGGCCACGACCCTATTAATTGCTATGGAATATCGGTGAAGGGTCCTTGACTCAATGCACAGTGTGCACCTACTATGTTCATGGCACAGTGCCAGGTAATGGAGGCACCACAGCAAAAGACTGCAAATTCTTCTTCAAATAAGAGAGCAGAATTCAGAAAAAGGTCAGAAGATGCAGTAGTTCTTTACCTTGTATCATTTCTAACACCTTGGGGGGTTGGTATTTTCATAGCACGGATAGTGAAGTGCATGTTCTGCATAGAAGGAGCAGGAGGGAATGAATGACTCTGGTTACCACAAGCTGCTTTGATTGTTTGAAGCTCAGAAAATCAATGGGGACTTGGTGGGGAGGGTGACTTGCTGGGCTCTCATCATAGTTTCTCCTCAGGCATTCTCCATATTGATGGTCTGGTGTGCTGAGGAGTCTAGCCTCCTGATGATCACTTATCATAACCTCAGCAGTCTTGCTATCACAGGGATAATAGTGGAATTCTCAAAAGTCTTCCAAGGTAAACATGTAAATTAGTAAGCTTACCTAGAAACTGTTCATTTGGAGAATATAATGTTAATAGATTTTTGGGTATAATTTTCTTAAATACTATGATGATTGGTTTTTCTAAGCTTGTGCAAAATATATTAGCTATTACTTCACACCCAATTTTGTACTGCATTTTTAAAAGGTCATATCTTTCAGTAAAGAAGCAATATTAGAACAGTCTGCTCACAGTAATAAGTCACTAGATCTCATTGCATTTTACTAAATGTGATATTTATTTGATAGTTTGATTCCTAATGGAGTTCTAATCATTTAGAGATAGTCTGATGTAGTTAACAAATGAAATGCTGCTTAAAAATAATGGTGGGGGGTTGAGGTTGGAAAGTGGTTGCTTATAGGTGGAACAAGATTGGTCTTCTGTTGGTAACTGATGAAGCTTAGGGATGGGTATGCGCTGTAATTTTTTTTGGGGGGGGTTCCTGCTTCAATCCTTTCCACTTTTATTTATGCTGGGATTGTTCCTCCAAAGATCTAGCAGAGGATAGACTCAACTGAACTGTCACTATTTTCATATTTTCACTTATATAAGCTTCTTCAGGTTAGAATTTGCTAAAATTATGGATCATCTGTTTGGAGTGCAGGAATACATTTGAATTAGAGTGAAATCATCTGATATCAGGTGACACAGTTGCTGCAACTGGCAGTGAAAAAAATGAGAAAAAGGGGCCAGTTTTTTTTTTTTTTTTTGAGAAGGGGGCAGGAAAAGGCAGCTATGCAAATCCCCAAGAAAAAGTGGTTTAATTTAATTTAAAATACACTGGAAGAACATCCAGAATAGTATAAAAATTTCAGTGACTTTAAAACACTTTCCCCTTCTCAGCTCACATTTGAATAGTTAAAAATGAATCAGGCTCCTGAATATTTGCAGATTGCCTGCGCCTGTATTAAAAAAAAAACAACAACTGTACTAGATCCAGTATAGATTGGCTTTCTCCATGCCAACCTTGCCAAAGAAAAAATAGCGTGTGGCTTTTGCTATATATTTACCACATAGTGTTCATACTTTGGTTTATAAGGGGTGGAAAAAAAAAAAAAACCCTTCCAAAAAGTTGTTTGTAAAATTTGTGTGTGCTTTTAAAAAAATCATCCATAGAACCATATTCAAAGCTTAGAGTTTACCTACAAGATAAGCTTTTCAGAAAACTCAAGCTCTGTTGCCATTTTAACTCCTCCTCCCAGTGTCCCCAATATGCCCACTTCAACTTCCCTCACTGTACCCAAGAGAGCGGTCACCACTGTAAGTCTTGATAGAGCCTGCTTGTTTGAAAAAGAGAGAGAGAGAGAAAAAACAGATAACAGAGCACAAATGTCAGACATCCTGCCTCATTTTACCATACAAATAATTGATTTCAAGGAAGTTAGAAAAAAAAAAAGACAATTCATTTCTTATGAACTACATCATCTGATAAATGCATTTTAAAAGTACATTTTAAATCAGATAGTCAAGATTTATTTGATGTTTCAGACATTTCCAGGTATGATAAATTCATTTGTAACTCAGTTTACTGTGATTTTTGGATGCATTTCTGTGTCCTCTTGAGTATAAGTTCCACGAAGATGAGGACAAACTTCCTTATTCCTCGCTTCTACCCAGGGCCTGACATGTTCAATTTACTGAAAACTTTTCCGAATTATTTGCAGTACTAAAAATATATCCATTTTTTTAAACTGTAACATGCAAGCTATAGTTAGTAGCTAAAATAGACTAACACCTATCATCTTTCAGTCGCGCAAATTCTCTATCCATATCGCTGCGATTCGGGGCTAGGTTGCTGGGCAGGGTGGACTGGGATATGCAGCACCAGTCCCCCTCTCTGCCTTGCAGCCCCTCGAGTCTAGAGGACACAGGCGCAAAGGCCCTCATTCATCTGTGTGTGCTGGCCCAGGACTCCTGGGCCTGCCTCTTCTCTCCTTATTTCTTCTGGTCTCCATTTTCAGTAGAGAAAGGCTGTGAGAGCAGTGAAAGAATAAAGACATTTGGTTGTAAGTTAAAAAGAAATTTCTGAGATAGGATCAGTCTTTCAGTGAGCAAATAAATGAGTCCACCGAAATTAATTATGCTATGTTTTCATGAGTTCTTTTGGGAAAACAGTTGGTTACTTTCATGTGTTTTATCTCTAATGTTATTTCCCCAAACAGCGGTTCTCAACTGCACATTGGAAACTCTTGGGGAAAGGAGTCACTGGCACTTAGCTTAAGGGATGTTGGTTACAATGACTGGGTGTGTTGGTGGGGTAGGGAGTGAGGGGATAGGGAAGTTGGGGTTGGGGGTAGAGGGTGAGTTCAGGGTATGGATTTTTTTCAGAGAGAGTATGAAATCATTGTGTTGTATTTCTTTGCATCAAATCATTAACCTTAATTAACTTTAAGTTGGAGTAATTTTGTACTAGTAGGTGTTACTTGTGAAAAACATTTTAAACTGGTAGATAAGGACACCTGAGTTATTTTAATGGCTGGGTACCTATACTTGTTTGAGAAGCATTACCCTTCAAACTTCACAGTGCATCAGAATCAGGCTATCTGATGAGAATGCCGGTTCCCATCATGCACTGGGCAGAGCTGACCGTGTGCTTCTCACACACTCTGCTGGAGGCCATGACGCTGCAGGTGCTTGATGACACCTTCGGTGGCAGGACTAGTTGCTGTTTGGTGGCACTTGGTGCCACTTAGCTTGGCAGCAGGACTGAGCTTAACCAATGTAGGGTCCCCAGGCATTGCCATCAATACCACTTTGTTCCTGTAGTTCAGCAGATTCCTGGGAGTGAGCCAGCTGTGGCCTTTGCCAGAGACTCCTTTCAGGAGGTCTGAACCCAGTCACCCTTTGTGTAAGTTGCCTAGGCTTCTCTGGTTTTGTGGGACACTTATTGGCATGAGTGAGATTTTGCCGAAGGGGTGGGGGGGGGAAGTGATTGGAAGTTTGCTTTTTATTAAAAACTCACAGATTCTGATTCCTGTTACTTATCTTAAAGAATATATGAAAAACAAAAATGCATGGCCGATAGTTTTGTTCCATATCTGAAACCTCGCCATGATTACAAAGTACACAACTAGAGTAAAATTCGTACTAGCAGGGATGCATTTGTTGAAAGGTTGTCATTTTTTGTTAAGATTTTCAGATATGGATATGGTACTCTCCAACTATCTCTGATGAGTCGTTAATAAACATGCACATCTTCTTCATTACTTTTTAAAAGCCAATTAAACCAGGAAACGAGAGGCATGGTATTAATTGACTGAGATTTAATTATATAATTTTCTCTTTTGTTTACACCTACTAATAAGCAAACACACATGAACAGCTTTGAATTTTTCTTTTTCTTTTTGTTGAAGGATCTTTGGCTTACACCCTTTTTAGTATTTTGAAAGTATAGGATTCTCCCCTCAGGGGTCCTCCCTGTAGCCCTCCCACCACCAAAGCACTCATAGTCCTCCACTGGAGTTCATTGTGCTCCCTCCCTCTCTACCTCCTTCTCTGTGGCCTCAGATCTATGGTCAGCTTTTTTCAAGAGCTGGTTAACGTTTGGTAACTCTTTGTTTGAACCTTGGATATTTGAAAGAAGAGGACAACAAATTAGGCTATTATTATGAAAACAATTGATAGCTATCTCTACCCTCACTTGGCAGTTGAAACCACTACAAAGGTGTGTCAAAGCCCCAGGAAGAGTAGGCAGACAATTGAAAGAGAAGAGCAGTACTTTAAGAAATGCAGGTGGTGGCACCTGTTTCTATCAGGTGATTAGCTAATAACTCCTCAGTGGCTATGTTTTGGGTGGAGAATCTTTTAAAGCTAAAAAAATTTAGTATCTCTCTAGCAAGTAACCATATATCTTGCTTACTTCATGCAGCCCCAGCCATCCTATTGTGACTTACGGTGTCAGGCAGAGGCACCAATCCATGGAGACCAAGTGCAGATGAGAGGTCCAGCCAAATCCTAGAGAAATTATGCTTATGGCTTTCGCTTTCTTATATAACTAGGAAGTAGAATTCTCTCTCCATTTTTCTGCTGTTTAAAATCAAATGTAGATTGTTGAAGGGAAAAGGCCAGGTAAATTTCTTCTAATATGAAGGCTTGGTGCTTTGAGTATCTAGTTGGCTTTGAGGATCCCAAGTAGCATGTTGCATGAAGCATTTTCTATTTGCCTTGACCACACGAGATTTCCTTGGCCAACTCCCCTTTATAAAAAGTCTTGTGACCCCAGATGACTTTGATAATTTCGCCATGAATTACATGTGCATTTTTGTGTTGTAGATGACAGCTTCTCATCAAAATGAGTTAGAAATACTTTCACCAATACTTTCAGTTGAGGGTGATTGTATTAACTATTGACCCTTGGCAACCTTAAGACTCTTGCAAGAATCACTTTTTGGTCCTTAAGTCACATCTTATTCAGTAGCAGAATGATCCATGATAATTAAATCTTTCCATTTTTTTCCTCAGATGGATCCTAACAGAATATCAGAAGATGATACCCACTGCATTAATAGAATTTTCAAACTTCATGAAAATGTAGATTTGCAAGACATAACTCTGGAGAGCCAAGACACAAAATTAATACCTGATTCGTGTAAAAGAATTAAACAGGCCTTTCAGGCAGCTGTGCAAAAGGTGAGTTCATGTCACTTCATAAGTCAAGGGCCCTTGCTGACTCTCCTTTCACTGGAAATTAAAACTGGTAAAATACTTTTGATGCTCTTCTTTTTAGCTTAATAATTTGTAAAGAGCTAAATAGAATTTTGAAAAGGGACTAGCAGAATTCTTTTGAAGTGGTCATGGTTGGTTATGGTAACAAGAGATACTCATGCAAATCTTCCTCTCTCTCTCTCTCTCTCTCTCTCTCTCTCTCTCTCTCGCTCTTTAAGAGAAGGATTTTACTTCACACTTGGAAGAAGCATGGTTTGCGGTAGTCCAATTTGCTACTTTGCATTCCCTGACCTAGAAACCACACTCTCAGTTCACAGAACTCTGATAGCTGTTCCCTTTGTATTTGGTTTTGTAATGGTGGGATCCCTTAGGGCTCTGTTGAGAATAATTGTAACTGGTCTATGGTTTTCATCTGTGGTGAGGAGGTAGTAAGGCAGAACAGAAAATGGTGTGGTGGTTGAGATGGAAATTCTGTGTCTCTTTTCTCAGTTTCTGAGGGAGCTGAGTAACAAGGGAGAAAATGGGCACAAAGAAAACCGGCGACTTCTCTTTCACCAACAGTTTCAATTCAGAAACACTTATTATAGCTGTCACACATTTTCCTGGAAATAGTCACATGAGAAGCTGCCACCTTGAGATGATTTTATTTACTGACTCCTCCTAAACCCCACAGTGGAAACCCACAGTGACTCCAGTGTGTGCTCACTTGTGTGCACTGCTCACGTCCTTGCACACCTGCACGGGTTTTTGCATCCATCCAGGCCTCCTGCCCCTGAGCAGTCTCTCAACATCTCAGAGTAAATCTAAAATCCTGAATTCCTAAAATCGAAACAAATTTTGATTTAGTTTTAAAAATT